AGTTCAACTACCAACCCTTCATCACTTTCAACAAAATAGGGCGAACACATCTCACATAAATTCACGTTTGGCTTATCGACAATTCTGCTATAAATAATGTGATTTTGGAGAAGGCCAGCCCACCATGTGACCCATTCGATGTGTAGCAGAGTGGTAAAGTGTCGCCCTGCTGTTTTGAATGTCGACTGGAGTATTAATGAGCGATGTCTATTCATTCCATTTTGGGACACTACACTCATTCCTTTTTCATCACCATAGCTGACCAAGGCTAACATAATTTATAGGTTTTAACATGTTCTTTGCACTGTGTAGAGTTGATATAATTGGGATCCGCAAATTAGTCGACGACGAGTCGCATCTACAGGAAGACTTCGGATAGCATAGCTCTTAAAGCGTCATCATTGACTGTCTTTCTAAAATTTTACAGAGTCATACTGTTTACTGTTTTGATTTCATGACATTTCGCCGGCAGCCTTAGATAAAGGCGCTAAATGGAAAAAAAAATATTGAGGAAACTACCAGGACAACTACTGCTCATACTACTGCTACCCAAAAAAAACTACGAGGAAGGGAAAACCGCTTAGGAAACAACTATTATCACTATTGCTACAGAAAAGAAGACTACAACAACAAAGGAAATCAACTGAAAATACTACTGATGCTACTACTGCACAAAGTAACAATACATGGAAAGGAAAATTGCTAGAGGAACTACTAAAGAATTAAAATGGAAACCATTAGAAAAACTACTGAAGAAGCTGCTACTACTACTACTGCCCATATCTATCCTTGTGAAAGTCGTTTATTGTATGAGGCATTCAAAAGCGATTCTAAATTAAAGTGAAAATTCGAGAAAAGGTAGACGATGTAGCTTTCTGTATTGTGGGGAAGCCTTCATACATTAGGAAAACTCAGGAGGTGCCGTGAATGGAATAAGACGACAAGAGACAAGAGCTGATCAGAGGGATTTTGTCAAAGTGTGTGACATTTTTATAAACAAGATGTCTTATGTCCTGAATATGCAACTTTCAGATTACCCCCTTCGGCTTGAGGTATACGACCTCAGCGAGGACTCGAGCCATGATCACATTCAGGCTTCCCGTCTCTCCAGCCCCCGGCCAGAAACGAAACAACAGGCCACCCACTAACTGCACATTCATGGATCGAGATAGAAAAGAATTCTTTCCAGTACAACCGTTCCAGCTTACATCTTGCACCAGGGCCGCTATGTATGGCAGCTATATCCACCTCGTCTGTATCGAGGGGCAGCCTGAGGATTACGTAATATCTAATGAGTTAACTGCAGGCGAATAATAAGAAATAACTTGCCTCTTATTATTAATTGTATAATGGAACTAATCAGTAAAAGCACAGATAAAACAAGATAATGAACTACTGTCAAGGAGAGGGAAATCGTATGTTATCAAATCTTTAACTCTAAATCAAATGCGTCTAGAAATCCCGGAGAAGACTGGAATGTGAAATGTTTTATATGGTTTCATGTCAGAGCTAAGAATCTAAAGTCAAGAGGCAGCTTGAGCATTCGTGAGAAATTCCTCGTGTAGGAAAAGCACGGCGAGTTGGCCAGACGACGCAGGTCGCTAAAGGTTAAGCATCCTAATTCAATAAAGAAGGATATAGAACAAACTATGAGGAATTGTGGTAGCATTTCATCAGAGTTTGATGGTTGTGTAGATGATTCGGTGACTGGCTCCGAAGTGTACCAGACGGAAGCGCGTGGTCCTTTGAGCACCAGAAGAGGTGTACAGATCCCAAAAAGCTGTCCATTTTGAGGGATAGTTATTGGATTTATTATAGTTGACCGATGAGAATGTTCTTAAGTTAATAGCAATCGGCTTAGTCCAGATTATGTAAAAAATAGAGATGGCGAAAATTAACCCTTCTAAGACCTCTCGCGAAATGAAAAGGGGATGGGACATGATTTGCTGAGCTGCAGTTTTGGCACCACGTTTATGAGATGGCCGAAGTCCTTGGGAAGCCGTCTCATGAATTTCGTAAAACCATGCTGTGCCGTCGTCCGTCATCTGAAGGGCATCTGCACAACAACACAACATTTTGGAAACAACTTTATAAAAAACGCAAGCAATACGATGTACCCATGGTTGCAATGCCCAGGCCTTAAACTGTCTTCCCATAATCAACTTAAGCGGCCTAAGGTGGTCGACTTAAGTGCTTATTTAAAGTCTGGTGGCAATTTGCGAATATTTATTGTCATTACTGATGTATCTGTATACCAAGTGAAAACATAGCAGTAAATGATAACACTTCTCTAGATTTCCTATTTTCAGTTTGAGTGAACTGTTTAGCATTAAATTCGTACTACAGACTCAAAAAGATGAGCTTTAATGTATACGTTTTAGCAAGAGCCGTGGAGCTAATCTTTCCAAGTGTCTAGTTAAGAAGCAGACGAAGCCAGTAAATTCAAGCTATTAAGCTTACTTCCATTTCGAGTAAAAGTGTTGGGTAAAGAGATTCGAAGGTCGGTTCCACCAGAATTTTTCTTAATCAGCCGTCGATTGCCTTTTAATGGAATATTCTTGTCGACGCTGTTATCGAAGCAATCCCCTTGGATTCCGATAAAAATGTGATCAGTTAACGAGTCTTGGAAGCATGAATATGGTTTTAAGGATGGAACCCTGCTCTGATGATGTCCGTTATATGACTTGAGGGAGATTATCCGAAGAAAAGTTAAGTTTCGAGGAATCTCTTGTCTCATAATTGTTGAGCATACTTCCATTTCGAGTGAAAGTGTTGGGTTAAGAGATTCGAAGGTCGGTTCCGCCAGAAGATGGCGGCTTATTCATTTTATGTGAAGAAAAGTTAGGTTTCGAGGAATCTCTTGTTTCATAATTGTTGATCTTACTTCCATTTCGAGTGAAAGTGTTGGGTGAAG